TATTAATTTCTCTTAGGATAAATTTTCAGCAGCATATACCAAAGATAAAATCAGAGTATCTAAAATTCTATTGTATGTAAGCTTTCCTAGAGTTACTTACCAATCTTCATATGTTTTAAAAGTTTTTGTTTTTTTCTTTATCAAAAACCAAATGCAGAACAACAGAAGTAAGACTGAAGGAGAGGAATAAAGGAGAAAGGGAGAAAGACATCTTACAAAACCAAACTGCAAATGTAATGGAAATACTTTGGTACAACATTATTTGTGTGTGCTATATGTCGAATCATACATGTTATAAAATTTGTGCCTAAATACATAAATATTTTCACAGTGTATGTTCTTAGAAGTGAAATTGGTAATTTAGAGAATAGGCAATATTTACATTTTGATTGATACTGCCAAAATAATCTAGCTAAAAAAAATAATAATGCAGTTTTTGTTTTCTTTCATTTTGTTTTTGAGACAGAGTCTCACTCTATTGCCAAGCCTGGTGCACAATGTCATAATCTCGGATCACTTCAACTTCCACTTCCCAGGTTGAAGGGATTCTCATGCTTTAGCCTCCTGAGTAGTTGGTATTACAGGTGTGCGCCACCACGCCTAGCTAATTTTTGTATTTTTAGTAGAGACAGGGTTTCAGCATGTTGGCCAGGCTGGTCTCTAACTCCTGACCTCAAGTGATCCACCCACGACTTCCCAAAGTGCTGGGATTATAGGCATGAGCCACCACACCCGGCCAATAATGCAGTTTTGATTGCTGTTGCTGAAAATGGAAAATACAGAAGCCACAGAGTCTAGATTACCTTTAGTAAGAAAAAGTTCATACTTTTGGACCTAGATGTAGTCCCCATCTCTGTTACCATGATCATTACATACCTCTGCCCATTATAACAGATGGGCATGGCCAATGATGAAGCCTGGCTAACTTCATCTGGCTGTAATAATATTATACAAGGCTATCTGGAACACCTTGCCATTTCATAGATCCATTACATTGGTGACATTATGCTGATTTGTACCTAGAGTTCTCTGTTGAGGCTGACCTAGCTTTGCTGTAAAATCCCAAATTTCTGCATTTTCACGATAGCATTGGGCTTTGTCATAAGTTCCATGTAGCATCTTTTTTTATCACCACCACTTCTAATACCATAGACTCTTTTGGAATGTATGACTTTATTGGCATTGCTGCTTGCAGTGTGACCTGGATCTGCTACCAAACACTTTCTTGTTTCAGGTTCAACTCTAAACTTGCAGCTTATTTCTTCCAGGTGTGAGATGGTTTACCACCAGGACCCAAAGATGTTCACCTGGTTCAGTGGTTTTTCACTGTAGTAATAGATGCAAAATGCAACTATTTGTCTCTGACTTTGGAGAAGTTATACTAGATTATTCTTGATCACAAGATCCCTAAATTCTACCGATATGGCAAGTACTTGTATCTTCATAGTGATTATCTTTCAGCTTGTAAAATACATGTGTTTTCCCAAGGCCCCTCCAGTGAACTAGCCACCTATTTATCATCCTGTCTAATCAGCATAATGTAGTAGTTCACTCCTGTTATCCCAGCACTTTGGGAGGCTGAGGTGAAAGAATCACTTGAGGAGAGAAGTTCAAAATCAGCCTAGGCAACATAGTGAGACGTGGTCACTACAACTTTTTTAATCAGTGGGTCACTGTGGTGTGCACCTGCAGTCCCAGATACTCCAGCTATTCAGGACACTGAGGCTGGATAATTGTTTAAGCCCAGGAGTTTCAAGGTTACAGTGAGCTACGATAGTACCACAGTACTCCAGCCTGGGCAACAGAGTGAGACCCTGTCTCTAAAAGATAGGTGAATAAATAGAAAGATAGGTAGGTAGGTAGATAGATCGATCGATCGATCGATCGATCGATCGATAGATAGATACGTACATATACATATATATAATTACAGTGGGTAGGAAAGTTAACATAACTCTGAGGAAAACCTGAATTATTGTGTGTATCCCATGTAAATGTGAGAAATTTCTGATCCCTTTTTAAACTTGAAATAAGAAGGAACTGAATCACCAAGTCAATGACCACATATCATGTAGGTGAGGCCTTATTTTTCTTCTCTAGCAGTGATACCACATTTGCCTCAGTGACTGGGATTGGGTTTACTACTTGGTTAAGCCCGAAATAGACTACAATAATTATCAAAGAATTATTTACCACATTATTTTCAGGGGCCAGACTAGAGAATTAATCAGATATATGACAGTGACCACCATTCCTTTATCTTATAAGTCTACAATAGCTTCACTAAGCTTGACCACCCCATCCCCCACCACCATCCTCCAGGATATGATACTGTTTTTTGTTTTTACTTTGGCTGGCAGAGGGAAGTTTCAGAGGTTAAACTTAGCCTTACTCATCATGTATCATAACCTTTACGCCACAGGCCGAGAAACCTGAAAATCTCTGTAGGTTTACTGACATTATCTAACACTCCATGGATCTCTGAACCATTGAATACAAGACTTTTCTCCCTCTGCATGGTGCTTATAAAAGGTAACATGGGCAGGGCGTGGTGGCTTATGCCTGTAATTCCAGCACTTTGGGAGGCTGAGGTGAGCAGATCACCTGAGGTCAGGAGTTGGAGACCAGCCTGAACTACATGGAGAAACCCCGCCTCTACTAAAAATACAAAATTAGCCGGGGGTGGTGGCACATGCCTGTAATCTCAGCTACTTGGGAGGCTGAGGTAGGAGAATTGCTTGAACCTGGGAGGCAGAGGCTGTGGTAACCTGAGATCGCACCTTTGCACTCCAGCCTGGGCAACAAGAGCGAAACTCAGTCTCAATAATGATAATAATAATAATAATAATAATAATAATAATAATAGGACTGAGGATAGAAAAAGCTATTGCAGAAACCCCCCTTGAGTAATTAAGCTTCCAGATATCATAATGAGGCTCACTTTTTCTTCTTTTTTTAATCAAGTTATCTCTTGGGGGAAAATAGAAACCCAAAATGGTTGTAGCTAATAGGTTTGTGTTTTGATTTGTTTTGTTTTGAGCCATAAATATAATACTAGTCACTGGAGTCTGTCCAGTGACCTGTTCTTGGTCATGTCATCCTGGTCCTCACTGCAACATATTAACCAGGTCCTGAATATCTTTTGGTAAATATTCCGAGACCTTCCTAGGTCATGCTGAGATCTGACCCTAGTTATTTAAGAAGCTCAAGGATTACATTTTGAAGCATCTGCCCAAAGCAAGGTCTTTGCTGAATCTCCAAGAAATGGGAGGCCTTATATCTAACTAGGGAATCTGCTAGCTTACTAGATACCAGAGGGAACAGGCAATCTACAAATTCAAAAATTTTATATGTATCTCCCCAAATGTCCTCAGTACAGGTCTTTTTCCTACCCGAGTCCTAACTAACGTCAGGCCTACATTAAATTATAGGATGGGAATCATTAAATATTTTTTTGGAAAGGACTAGATAATTAATATTTTTAGCTTTGCAGGCCATATGGTATCTGTTGTAACTATTCAACTCTGTAGAGTGTTGAGTGAAAACAGTCATAAAAACAGGCTAATGAATGGTAATGGTGGTATGCTCATGAAATTTTATTTAAAAAAAAAACAAAAACCGGTGATAGGCTGGATTTGACCTATGGGCCACAATTATCTGATCCATACATTAGATCCTTGCCAGGACTGTGAATATAAATTCCTTTGTTACTATGACACTTTATGATTAAATCTTCATTTTTATTACCAATACAAATCTGCCTTCTAGCTACAGGAAATTAGAGTCCCTTTATATACTGCCATAAAGGATTTCTGTCTTTTCCAGCATGCCCTGAGTTGGTAGTTGACTAATCAAATCCTCTGTTTTTTTTTTTCTTCAAGGTATCTTTCATGGAAAACAAAAGTCAATCTAGTCCCTAATTGTATAACTAGTTGTCATAATTATTAATGTCCTCTTATCTTTCAAGTTTTAGAGCTATTTCTTAAGGTATATATTTCATTCCAATATGCTGCAAGTGATGAAAGTTTTAGTAATTATACCAAGCTAGAGATCTCAGCAGCAACCGATTCCTTGTTGCCCTCTGTTTTGATTGTTTGTAATTTTTTTAGTGAAAGTAATTTCATTAATGAAAAAATGAAAAGTAACAGTTTAAAGGTTTTTTAAAGAGGAGCATGAAAAATTATGCTTATCCATTCTTTGACCTTTGTTTTGATTTTACACAAATGATGTAAAACACCAGAAGAAGGCTTAGTTGATTTTAACTGAGTGGATTAGACAATTGGATTATTTACATAAATCACAACATAATCAATGAATCTCTATTTGACTAAACCATGTAGATATAATTTCAAGACTTAGCTTGTCTATATTCCATGAAATCATGGATAAGAACTTATCAAGATAATTCTGAGTTCCCCACATGCAGACTTTATATTTTACTATAAAAATAACTTTAGTAATCATAAAAAAGCTCACATTGTTATAATAATTAACAAGGAACCAATTTATTTTTACTATCTAAACAACTAATTATTTAGCCTTTAAGATTTTTTTCATGTATTATCTCATTACAGTAAAAATGCGTTTGGTTCAGAAATTATAAAAACAAGACCTTATCTTTCTTAAGTATACATATCTACTTGATTGCTTGTTGCCATCTGAATGAACAGTGACCAAATTAGAGGTTTTCAACTATTACATCTGCTCACTGAGTTCTTTCCATTCAGGTGAATGTAATTTAATCAGTGAGTGATCATAGAGGGCATATGAGGTGAGGAAGTGAGGGAGTAAGACAAAAAAAGATAAGGTCAATAAAGGAAGCACTGACAATGAGCAGGTAGGAACTGCAGCTAAATTCTGATAAGAGCCCTCTGAATGAGTAAAGAGAACACATTTCTGAATTGTCTCAATGAAGGAGAAAAAGTGTGATCACCTGCCAGCTCCTGTCTCTTGTTGGTGGGAGGTTGCATCTTTGCATTAATAGCCCCACCTCTATCCAGCCCCTCCAGGCAGCTCTTGGAATCCCTGGGCATTACCTAGTGGAAGAAGAACACCCTCAGGCAGGAAGACGCAGGAAGTTATTGGTGTGTGTAGGAACTGTCTACTGAAAACCTCCAGGTGAACTGGGTTGATGCGTTCAGAGACCAACAAGATCTCTTACAAACTTATTTCAATGGCTTTATTTGGAGAAAGCACAATGGAGAGGTAACATCAGAGTTGTGACTGATCCACAGAAACACATGGTAAGAACAATAAAATAATTTTGAAAGGTTATTGCCACTTATTTTTTTACTTAACAAAAATACATAGTGAATAAATTAAATGGGATTTGGGGTAGGTAGCTATACTATCATTTCCATGTGTTCAGGTATCTCAGTGATCTCGTCAGGGTGTCAATGCCCTCTATCCAAAGACCACTAGGAACACACTTATATTCAAACAAGTTGTGATTATTGCTCCTTGAAGCAAAGAAGAAGATACCATGAAAATCCGTGGGCCATCAAAGCAACAGGGTGTTAGAAAGGACTGGTTATAAAATTTGGGTATGTGGTAGGTAATTTTGGGAAATATTTCAAGAAGCCTACTTTGCTCTGGATGAAATGCTATCAGGAAGCAGGAGTAATATTGTGACTGCATATTTGAATAAATCTTATCTAGGACGGTGGTAGAACCATTTTTTTTTTTTTTTTTTTTTTTTTTTGAGATAGAGTCTTGCTCTGTTGCCCAGGCTGGAGTGCAGTGGCACAATCTCAGCTCACTGCAACCTCCACCTCCCAGGTTCAAGTGATTCTCTTGCCTCAGCATCCCGAGTAACTAAGCACTACATGCACGTGCCACCATGCACAGCTAATTATTTTTGTGTTTTCAGTAGAGACAGGATTTCATCATGTTAGCCAGAATGGTCTTGATCTCCTGACCTTGTGATCTGCCTGCCTGGGCCTTCCAAAAGGCTGGGATTACAGGAGTGAGCCAACACGCCCAACCCAGAACAATTTTAAAACTGTAGTTAGTAAAGCAACAGTCACTCATGAGTGGGGGAATAGTTGGTCTTTTGTGGCAGAGGCAATGGCCATGTGTTGTCTGTGTTCAGATGTGATTATGGAATGTTTTTGTCTTGACCTATCAGATCACAGAATGGCCTCATCTGATGTTGATATAAAATAAATTAATACATTCTGAAACATTGTAATTTGAAATATGTTAAGAATACAAATTCTGGAAAGTATGATGCTTGAAATGTATTTTAAACTAATCATATTAAACTACTCCCCAATGTGAAATTGTTTATGGTTAACAGAACACCAAGGCACATCTCTGAATAGAAGGCCAGCTCATATCAGCAACAAGGCCCAGCTGACAGAAAAAGGCTAGATCCTGGATATTAGGCCATGCTTTCTTTCTCAAAGGCACAAACATAATAGTACAGATTGAAAAACAGCTCATTCAAATCCGTTTCATTTTATGAAATGACCTGCGTTTTTTGAAACAAAAGTCATTTACTGATATAGTTTGGCTGTATCTCCACCCAAATCTCACCTTGAATTATAGGTCACATAATCCTCATGTGTTGTGGGAGGGACCCAGTGGGAGGTAATTGAATTATAGGGGATGTTACCCTCATGCTGCTGTTCTTGTGACAGTGAGTGAGTTCTCACAAGAGCTGATGGTTATATAAGGGGCTTTTCCCCCTTTTGCTCGGCACTTCTCCTTCCTGCTGCTAGGTGAAGAAGGACATGTTTGCTTCCCTTTCCACCATGATGATCTCCCCAACCACTCTGAACTGTGAGTCAGTTAAACCTCTTGCCTTTATAAATTACCTGGTCTGAGAGATGTCTGTATTAGCAGCATGAGAATGTATTAATATATTTACAAATGAGTTTGGATGTTAAATTTAAAATATTTGGTTGATAATTGATAAGCAAGAATTGTTTGTGTTTACATTTCTAAATCTTTTCAGTTTATGACATGATTATTTTTCATATTTAGAAACATCCACACATATAAAATTTAAAATTGTTATATTAACTTAATATAGTCTTTAATTATTTAGCATGTTCAAGTTAATATAAAAGTTCTCTAAGATAGGTCATTTTTAAAAGTCTTTATGTACTACCACCTTTATATCCACTTATTTGTTTATAATAAATGTTGCTGAATTTCAGAAAAAAAATATTTATTTAGAATTTTTTACAGTTTGACCATACTGGGCATAATTTTTTTTGTCTACCGAAGATGAAAAGATACTTCTATATGTATTCTGGAAAGCATCTTTACTTTTGTATTCAGTGTTATTGTGAAAATGAAAATACTGCTAAATAAAGATGAGTTTCTCACCATATGAAATACTTATCTTTACTTTCAAAATAATAAAATAGTGTAGGCAAATTCATATTTGACCTTTTCCTATTCTATGCCATCAAAATATAAAGAAAAAGATAACATAAAAATTATATAAAAATAAATTATACTGCTCAGAAATTTAGACTCTTAAAAACATGAAATCATTTTCTTCCTACATTTCAGTTCGATTAGATAACTGACCATACAAGTTATAATTTTTGTTTTCAAAAGTTTAAATTACTGAATGTGGAGTTGATCAGAAGCACAACAAATTATAATTACTGAATCAAATAAGATCATTTAATTTCTCTATTTTATTTACAAACTATATAAAATAAATTAATACATTCTGAAACATTTTAATTTGAAATATGTTAAGAATACAAATTCTGGAAAATATGATGTTTGAAATGTATTTTAAACTAATCACATTAAACGATTCCCCAATTATGCCAGTTACGTGAGATTTGGCTCTAGCATGGAAGAACTAAATAAGAGGTACATGTTAATAATATAGAAAGGTGAGCAGAAATCATTTGTTGGTTTTCTATGACATGTCATGCTGTAGTGCCACTCAGAGGGGAAGTACTGATATTTGTTATAGCTTAGTTGATACCCTTGTTTTATATAAACACATTTTGTTACCTGTATTAATATTCCTGACAAATGAGTAAAGTGTACAGCTGTCTGTTTCTTATGGCTCTGGCTGCTACACCTGGACAGCCTTTGTAATTAGCTAGGGAATGCCTCTTTTCCATCTGTCACTGCCGTGATAACCAGATTTAGTGCTCAGTAGAAATTTGTTGTAAAGAAATAATGATAAACAATTAATAGAAAATGTACATTATATAAAACTATATTTTACTCTTCCACTTAAAAATAATCATTATTAGAACACACTGTAAAAATAATTCTGCAAATCACATATTTAAGTAACCAAATAATAAAATCTTGGTGTACATATACACACTATCTATATATTATAGAAAAAGTTAAAGGCCTTTGTTTTACATGAAGACCTGGGATTAGCATATCCTTACAATTATTTCTAGGTCTACTATTCCGTAATTTTAATATAGAATATTCTAACAAGGATAATACCTAGTGGAGTCATACAGACAAAGAGGGACTCACATGTCTCAGAGATACTGCCTCTTATTTGTATACACAAACTATAGCCTATCTCATGCTGGGAAATCCTGAGGTAGTAGAAAAATACAAGAGTATAAGCTTATTCCCAAATATTCTAGGAAGAATTTAGCAGGAAGCTCCCCTCTTTATGCACCTGAAAAATGGAGAACACATGTGTCACAACATTTAAGAACCTCACAGCAAAGATAAAATACTTTAGTAATTTTTATTCTGGAAGTTGCAGTAAGACTGAAGCTGAGACTGAAAGTCTTTTTGCTGTGTTTTATGTCTAGATCACAATTACATCATCATCACCTTTAATAGTGATTAGCAAAATTACTTATAATGAAATTTTATTTCTTAGAATCCTACTACGTAACTTGAGTCATTTCTCTTATTTGACTTTCATTCCATGGTTCATGGGATTTTTGTTGTTGTTGTTGTTTTGAGCATTTTTCTATAATTTCAAATCTAAGAAGCTTATTAAATGGGGCCAAATATTCCCTGACATCAATAATATTAACTCTAAAATTCACTTTATTTCAAGTTTTTTTTTTGTGATTTAAACATTCTCAAATAAATGTTCAGATTGGCAGAAATTAAGAGCAGAATAGCTCTCTCGGAAGATCCTTGTCTACTTCTGAGAAAATAGTTTTCTTTAAGTCAATACAAGGAATTCATAGTCTTTTTATTTAAAGAAAACGTCTATCAATATAAAAATGTATATTATTATTATTATATTTTACCTTAATATTAACTTTACAACGCTTAAAATAAAGTTAGTTAATTGTATTATTCACTCATTAATCTATGGTAAATATCTCTTTTAATTTTTACACATCTTCCCCATTTTCCTTAAATTTTTATATCAGTGAAATATTCTCCAACATGTTTTCATCTATTTGCATTTTATATATTGTATACATTCTATATAAAACCAATTCTAAACAAAAGTATTTTGTATGTATTTCTTTTACTAATATATATTTTCTGAAAGAAAGTATACCATCTGTATCAGTTTTTGCGGTGTAAGAAAACCACTTCAAAGTCACATCTAAAGTTGGTTGCGCAGGTTTTATTGTCTTGCCTGGGCTCAAACATGTATCTTTGGTTAGAGAGAGGTCTGGTACAGAGTTCTGCTAATATTTGCTCAGCTCTCCAATATGTTTGAGAGTGGTGTGACTAATATCTGCTCTAGTATGGATTCATCAGAAGGGTTGGGATGACTTGCTGCTTTACCAAATAGTCTCTTATGATGGAAGTGCCACCCATCCTAGGTTTCTCTTCATGGAGGTGCCAGGGTTCTGAGAAAGGGCAGAAGCACACAGGGAATCTTGAGGCCTAAGTTTGAAACTCACACATCACTTTCACTATAACTATTTGCCAAAGCAGTTCACAGGACAGCCAAGAGTCAAGAAATGAGAAATAGATTCCACTTCCTTAAAGGAAGACCTTTAAAGTCACACTATTTATGAAGAATCGGGTGAAAGATTAGAGTCATTTTGTAGTTAATCTACCCTATTATCTGATATTATGTGCAATATAATTCTATTTCATTCACCCTTGTATGTTTAGCACCTGGAAGACTACCTGGAACATGTAAGAAATAAGTATTTGTAAAACAAAAGAATGTAAAATCCCACCCCACTTGGAGGACTACTACCTATATGGAAAATAATATTGATTGTGTTGCCCAACATTTTTTCCAATAAGTGACCAGCATGCTTTTCCAGAATGCCGATGTTTGAAAACTAAACCCTTTATTCCACAGACAGTTTAGTAATTAGTTTTCTGATGGAGGCTTGGTTTTGCAAAACAAGCATCTCCGAGAGTTGACAGAAGAAAATAGTGTGAGGCGGTGCCCACTCTAGGAAATGATTCTTCTTTAAGCAACACTGATGTACACTTTTTTATTTTTCTTCTTCTGAGACATACCTAAAAGTTTCTGGTGTCTTGTTCTTAGGATCATATTGAAGCAGTAGCAGTTAGGTTTCTACATTTTAATCTCTGATTCTTTTCTACGTTTTTCCTTTTCAAACAAAATTTTTAAAAAAATATATAAATGCCTATGCAAATAAGTAATTCACTTTTATCTTTTACATTTTTAAAGCCATTAAAAATACATTTTAGATTTGTTCTGATTATTTGTTCCAAAATGAATCACCAGGAGTGGGTAGCAACTAATGAGCAT